ACCTGTGGACCCGGTGGCAGGTGCCGACAGTGGGGATAGCCTCACAAAGGAACTGCAAGCGGCATTAGTGAACGGCCCATGGTTATTGGGCAATCAAGCACTGTGCACTCGTCGGGACGGAGTGGTGTGGAAGGGGGACAAGCTATATGTACCAAATTTTTTGATACCAATTTTTTTGGTACCTCCAATTGTACTATGATGGGGTTGATGATCCGAACAATTGGAAAAGGGCCCATGTTCTTGGGTCCAAGTTTTTTCGACTTTTGGGTGGTTTGCAAATACTTGGTGGAAAGGAAAACCATATCTCCGACTATAACTTCTCCCCTGAGCCCTTTTCTTGTCGGCCTGGGCTTTATGAGCCCGATGGGCTTCATCCAGAGCCTTGCGGGTTATAGCCCAAGTGCTACATAACTGTTGGATCCACTCAATCAAGGAGGGAATCTATGGGTTTTCCTGGGGCAACTCTGGAATGGGTACGAAATCTTGGCCAGAGGCCACTTTGAAAGGGGTGAACCCCGTGCTGCTATGTATGGAGTTATTATAGGCTACCTCTGCAAAGGGTAGCAAATCTGTCCAGTTATCTTGTTGGTAATTTATATAATATCTAAGATATTTTTTTTATTTTTTTTTTAAATTTGATTTATATGCCGCCCCTCTCCGGAGACTCAGGGTGGCTAAAAACCACTTGTCAGTTTTTAGAGCTTCTTTTAGCTGGTTAGTCAAGTCGCCCGATAAGGTTTGGTCTGCTTTTGCTTGGGCTCTAGTAACTACTGGTGCCACCAGTTATTTTGAGGGGATAATTGGCAGAATCACCTCCTCTCTAATGCTATCGTATTGTGGCAGTCTTGACAGAGCATCTGCCATGAAGTTCTTTCCTCCAGGAAGATAGCGCAGGGAGAAATTAAATCATTTGAAATGTTGACTTGCTTTGGGGACAGTTTTCGTGGCATTTTCAACCCTTCTAGATTTTTGTGGTCAGTCCACACCTCAAATGGGTGCTTAGCTCCTTCACGGAAATGTCTCCATGTTAGTAGTGCCCAACGAACAGCAAAAGACTCCTTCTCCCATATGGCCCATCTCCTCTTGGTCTCTGACAGTTTACGAGAAGTATAAGCGCAGGGTTGCAGCTTTCCCTCTGCATTCGCTTGAAGTAGCACTGCTCCGACGGCTACATCGCTGGCGTCCGCCTGTATTACAAATGGGGCTTCCATGTCAGGATGTTTAAGGACCGGTTCGGCAGCAAACAGTCATTTTAGTTTCTCTAAACCACCTGACAGTCCATAGTCCATTCGAGAGGCCGGGAGGACTCTCTCCTCTCCTTCTGTTTTCAGAAGGTTTGTAATTGGTAAGGCAATTTTGGCGAACGAGGGGATGAACTGTCTGTAGAAGTTAGCAAATCCCAGGAAACTCTGTAGTTGTTTGCAGGTGCGTGGTGGGGCCCACTCTAACACTGCACGGACCTTTTCCAGGTCCATTTTGATAGTTTGGCATAGAGTTCAGTGGCCCTAAGTTTTCTCTGGACGGTTCTCACCAACTTTATGTGTTCGTCCATGGTCTCGGTGTAGATAAGAATGTCATCCAAGTAGACCAATACACCCATGGATTGGTGTTCATGCAGCATCTCGTTAATTAGTTGCATGAACACTGCAGGGGCTCCTTGCAGTCCGAAAGGGAGCACCCTGAACTGGAAACATCCTTGCAGGCAGTTAAAAGCCGTTTTCCATTCATCCCCTTCCTTAATCCGAACTCTATAATAGGCCTCCCGTAAGTCCAGTTTTGTAAAAATTTTCCCCTTGCCTAGGTGGGCTAACATGTCCTTCATGAGCAGCAGGGGGTAGACATTTTCTACAGAAATGGCGTTAAGGTTTTTGTAGTCAACCACCAAGCGAAAGGACCCATCCTTCTTCTCCCGGAAAAGTACCTGTGGTGCCACCCGTGGTCTAGCCGGTTGGATAAAACCGCACTTTAAGTTCTTGTCAATAAAGTCTCGTAGATCCCCCAGCTCCCGGGGGGTCATGGGGTAGATTTTTGGCTTAGGGAGTTTTACACCTGGGAAGATTTCAATGGCACAGTCAGTTGGCCGGTGGGGGGACAGCACGTCTAACGCCTTCTTGCTGAACACCTCCCGAAGGTCCCAGTACTCTTTTGGGATCTTTTCCTTCCCAACAATGTGGTCTGTTGCCGTTGCCACACTTTCCACTCCGTCCACAAAAAGGGGTTCCTTCCCTTCCTTCCCTGGGTGTTTCGAGCGGATGCGCAAAACTCCCATTTTCCAGTTTATGCAGGGGTTCCATTTACGGAGCCAAGGCAGTCCAAGTAGGAGGGGCCATTCCATACCCAGGGCCACGATAAAGCTAAGGCTCTCTAGGTGATCCCCCATTTTCATCTCGATTGGCTTGGTTACAAATGGGCTGGACCCACTCCAGCCACTGATCCATCTAGCTGACAGAATGCGATGGGCCTTTTCATGGCTTTTAGTCTTAGGCCCATTTGTTCTACCACATCCGGGCTGATGACACACCTGGTGCATCCCGAATCTAGGAGGGCTGGCATCTGGCCGTGGGCCCCTGTGGCGGGTACCTTTAGCTCTACTGGGATGGTCAGGGGGACCCCTTTCCGACTTACCAGGCAGTCGTCGTCAGAATTGGTTTCGGTTTCGCTGTCGTCTGCAATGGTCGGAGTTCCCAACTCATCCTGTTTCAGGGGAGCGAACTCAATGACTTCTCCCTTCAGGGCGGTTTCACAGCCTTTCACAGGTGGTTTATCCGATCTCTTTCCTCCGGTAGTGGTGGCATTGGGCGCTGGCTTGGAGAAACACTCAGCAGCTCGGTGCCCCTCCTTTCCACATTTGAAACACGCAGAGGATTTTGGCTTGGGCCCTGCCTTGCTTGCTGCGGCCTTAGGCGCCCCCTTGTGGATCAAGGAGGGTGGCTGATCCCATGTGCGCCCCCCCACAGAGATGGCTTCATGCCAGGTCAATCTCCACGCCCGCTGCCAGCACATACCAGCTCTGCAGGTCATCAGGAGCCCCCTGAGAATGGCAATCTTTGTAGACGTCCTCATTCAGCCCATCTTTATAATTCTCTAGCAGAGCCACTTCTGACCACCCTCTCATGTAGGGTGCCAACTCGCGGAACTCTTGGGTGTACTCAGCCACCGACCTCCGCTCCTGGTGATTGCCCTTCATTCTGATTCTCGCTCTTCGCTCAGCTAATGGGTCCTCAAACCATGTTCTGAGGACTGTCATGAATTGATCATAATTTCTCAGCAAGGGGGAGTTTTCGTTGTGGAGTCCCACCATCCATTCAGCTGCTACTCCCCCTAGGGCTTGGGTAACGCACCTGCTGAGCTGGCAGCTCCCATCTGGTCCAGCTGTCTTGATCAGATATTGCTTGTTCAGCCCCCACAGTAGTTTTCCCGGGATGGCTGTTAAAAGAGACCTTGCTTAATGTCAGGATAGCCTCCTTTCATTACCCAAGAAAGAAAAACCCCGACTCCATTTTCATAGAGAAAGGTATCTTTTACTGAGTATGAACTGAATGCAGTCAAAGAAAAGCAAGGTCTGAAGCAAAGGTATGAAAATTACATATAGAAAGCATCCCCCCCCCATCTGTCCAGCGTCCATCATCCAATCCACAATTTCCCCCAGGGGTCATGTGGGTGCCACATCTCATGGTGCCATCCTCCTGCTATGCCAGGACCGTTGACATTGGACCGTTATCAACTTCAAAGAAGCTAAAGCAAAGTTTTTCCCTTCTCCTCCAGCTCTCTTCCCTCCTCCCAGAATCCCAATAGCTCCCCCCTCCCCCCATTTCATGGCAGCCAAGTAATAAAGCAATGAAAGAGCGGAGGCTGACAGTAGGCCTGCTGCAGACCGTGGCTGATCCTGTTCGTCCATGAGAGATCGCCATGGACTTCATAGTAGACCTGCCCAAGAGCAATGGGCACACGGTCATATGGACTGTAATCGATTTATTTTCAAAACAGGCCCATTTCATACCATGCAGGGGGATTCCATCAGCACGGAAACTCGCAAGATTGTTCATTGGACATATCTACTGTCTCTACGGGGTATCTCGACGTATCATCTCAGATCGGGGGGTTCAATTCACTGCCAAGTTTTGGTGTGATTTCGTCCAGCTGTTCAGCTCCACCCAGGGACTGAGTTCTGCGTTCCACTCCAGTACCAATGGGGCTATCAAGAGAGCCAACACCAAGACTGAACGCTATCTGAGATGCTATGTCGATACCAGCAGAAAAATTGGGCAAGCCTCCTTCCCTTTGCAGAAGTGACTTACAATGCGGTGAATGGGAGCACTGGGTTCACCCCCTTATGCGTGGTTAACAGGATAGAGTTCCTAGCCATCTCCGAGTGGGTCAATGACTCCCAGATTCCCAGAACTCTGAAGGAATGGGCAGACACAATACCAGATGTCTGGGGAGCAGTGAAAAAAGCATTGCAAAAAGCAGCTGAGACATGTAAGGTACAAGCCGACAAGAAACGGGCAATGCCAAAACCTTTTAAGGTTGGAGATCTAGTGTACCACTCAACGAAGTACATCAAACTGAGGGTGCCATGCAAAAAGCTTGGCCCGAGATACCTGGGCCCATTCCCTATCGTTCAAATGATCAACCTGGTGACCGTGGAACTGAAGCTCCCATCCTTACTGGACCAGGTGCATCCCGTGTTCCACAGTAGCTTACTGAAACATGTACAGACCACTAGGATAAGACCCCTACTGAGACCTCCTGGGCCAGTGGGAGCAGGCCACTACGAGATAGACAAGATCCTAGACTCCCATTTACATAGGGGTAGACCCCAATATTTGGTCAGGTGGAAGGGATATCCAGCTGCCAACGCATCCTGGGCACCTGAAAGGGAAATAAACACCAACAGGCTGCTGTGACGATTCAACCAATGATATCCGGGTAAACCGGGGAGTGGGGATCGGGCACTTGTAATAGTACGACAGCTAACACCTCTCTGTTATGTCTTCCAGGTGGTGCCCTGGTAGAGGGGAGCTGCCTGTCAAGCCCAGTCCACGTGCTCGCCATACCTGGGGGGGGCAACACGGTGAGAGTAACTGCAGCCAGGGCGGCAGGAACAGCGGCTGGCGTGGCCAATGGGGATGTGGCGTTCTGGCATCCGCGGATGGCCTGGGCTGCAATAGAAGTCCCCTGCCTCTGTCGGCTGCTTCCTGGAGAAAAGCCGAACCAACGCCTTACAACTGATGCAGCTGGGGCAATGATGGGCAGCCTTTTGCAGCCAGAACCATCGCAGCTGGGACTACAACACCAACAATGGCCTGGGACACCACCAGGGAAGCCTTCATGGACATTGGCCTGGTTGGAACCTGGCCAGTTACGCCAGATGCTGGCTACTCGGGGGGGTGATAGCCGCTGGGTAATTGGGGGGTGGGGTACACTGGACAAAAACAGCACTGGAAGGCGGATGCTCCCAGCACTGACTTCACATGGCTTTAGGTGCCTTCCAGCTGCATTCTGTGGCAAGCCTGTTAATAGGACAATAAAAGCACAGCTTCAGCCATCTTTGTGCTTTACTGCCAGGCTTGCCCTGACAGGCTGAGACTGGCATTTTAACAGGAATATGTAGACTTATTATATCCACTGTATATATGCTATATGTCCTCCATTAAGAATATTGTTTTACAGAGAAAACTATGGATTTATAATAAATCTTTATGACATAAAGCCCATGAATTAAAAGGTAAAAATGAAACTTAGAGACTGCAAAAAAGGAAATGTGTTTATTTATTTATTTTATTTTATTTATTTATTTTATTCAATTTGTATACCGCCCTTCTCCTAGTGGACTCAGGGCGGTGCACAGCCAGAACTAAAACACATAACAATACAAAATTTAAAATTATTAAAAGAATTATATACTTTGGCCCAAATTTAAAACAATTCAAATTAAAACCCATTGACAGATTAAAAGCTAAACAACTAAAAAACTAAAAAAAAAAGGGGGGGGGGTGGTTTCACGCCAGCCCTGCTTGATGGAAAAGAAAAGTTTTCAGGGCACGGCGAAATGTGTTGCACACCAATGGTCAAAACGGATATTTCATTAGTTTTTAAGATACAACAAATCTTCAAGTGTACTTTGTGTATTCAGACTGAATTGCAGTTTAACTTAAAAGATTACGATTTAGATGACTAGTAAAATTGATGCAACCTTTAGAACAGATTGAATGGAATTGTCTACTCATGAAGCATTCCTGATCTGCTCTCGAGTTGCCATAGGCAGGGGGAAGGGGAATTGAGCCTCGCAGCTGCATCAAGGAACTTGCACTTCAGTGAAAAGAAAGCACATTCCAACCAGCAAGCACCAAGGCCATCTCCACGGATATCCACAGTGGCCGGAGGGAATGACTTCTACAACCCGCAAAATTGCTTTGTTGGGAAATGTGACTGATGACACACCTTGGGGGCAGGGGGAAACAGGGTCAGAGCCAAGGCGCGAATTAAGTGTGATCAGAGTTAGCTTCACTTGGTCCATGCTGACATGACGCTTGAGGCTCATGATTTAATTAGGGCATTGGTTGGAACCCTGACAGGAATTTCCCCAAATTAATATACCCAAAGTGTATTACTTAATATGCACTACCCATGTTTCCCCGAAAATAAGACCAGGTTTTATATTTTGGGGGGGCTGCAAAATAAACAGGGCTTATTTTCAGGGGATGTCTTATTTTTCTTTACGTACAGGAGGCTGCAAGCATGGGGCCAGCAGAGTGCTGCTACTGCCGGCCTGATCTCTCAATCTCACCATCTGCTTGCCCGCAGCTGCAACAAGCTAAGCTCTCGGCATGTCCTGGCCTCCGCCCACCCTGCCTGCTGGTCCTGGGACATTTCTCAGCTGCGGTGGGCGCTGTACTGGCTGCAGAGTGACTGTCCATGTTGCTACTGGCCTCACGGGGGCTCTTTGCCCTCCTGGCCATGCTGCTCTCAGCCACCCTGCTGGCGTGCTCCTGCTGTTCTTGTGGCACCCACAGGCCAAGCTTTCAGCACATCTGCCTCCTTTCATCGTGAGTTGGAAGACCCGCACGGTGAGGGACTGCTGGTTAGGTTGATGCACGTCTTTGCCAGTTTCTCCCCTTCAGTGGTCGTGCCACCCATTTCGGGAGTGCAGGAGCCATCCCAAAAGCCCCGCCTTCAACACAATTCACACCAATATGCCCTGACTGCCTTCGGCATTACCTCATCTGTGGCTGCTCTGCTGCCCCTTGCCTACCATCCAGCCTGGCCTGCTGTTGGGTTGGAAGTTTGATTGTGTCCCGCAAGGGAGCCTCCACACCTGGTGGATGTTTGTCTGCAAAAGCTGAGATGGAGCAGCCGCAGGAGGGGGAGAAAGAAGGGAAGGAGAAAGCACGCACCTTCCTTGACACAAAGCTTCACAATAGGCAGTGCGAAAGCAGTGCATGCATGTTGGCCAGTATAGTGCTGGCTGTGACCAAGAAGTGTCCCAGCAGCAGCAGAGCCAGCAGGCATGGCAGGCAGAGGCCAGGGTGCATTGAGAGCTTGGCCTGCAGGTGCCACAAGAACAGAAGCAGCCCAGCAAGGCAGCCAGGAGGGCAAAGAGCCCCTGAGAGGCCAGCAGCAGCACGGGCAGCTGCTCCGCAGCTACTATGGCAGCTGCCATGGCAGAGAAGTGTCCTAGTAGCAGCAGGGCCAATAGGCAAGGTGGGCAGAGGTTGGTGCATGCCGAGAGCTTGGCCGGTGGGCGTTGAGAGCAGCAGCAGCAGGGTGGTGCCCAGAGCCGAGGTCAAGCAGGGCAGCAGCAGGTTGCATAGCAGCCACACAGACAACATAGGGAGCTGCTCCCACCTAGGCACCATCGGCCCCCAGCAGCAGCAGGCCCAGCAGTCGGGCCTCAGGGTTGGCGATGGCGGCTTCTGAAATCGATCCAGGGAAGAACAGACAGCTTCTTCCCTTTCAGCCCCTTCTGCAGTCACCAAAAGAGACAAGTGGCAATTGCTCAGGGAGAAAAGAAGGTAAGGGTGTATTTGAAGAAATATTCCTCTCCCCACAGGCACCCTCCTGATGTAAGCGAGTCAGCTGGCTATGTCCATCCCCCAGATGACCCTCTTAACTAGGGCTTATTTTTGGGGCAGAGCTTATGCGAGCAAGAAAAAAAATCAGGCTGGGTGTTATTTTTGGGGTAGGTCTTATTTTTGGGGAAACACTATTTGGCAGCATGAGAAAAAGTGAATTGTCAAATTCTATTACTTTCTCAGGGTCTGTCAGTTTTCTTGGCACAAGTCTGAATCTAATGTGGTTCATTCATTACTTTTATAGACATCTACTGATGACTATAGAGCTAGATACTTTAATAATTACCATAGTTTTTCTTGTTTATTGCATTTGCCCACTGCAGTTATGTGGGAAAAGCTATTTCATTCTTCAGTTTCAATTTTATTTGTTAGGATCTCATATTTTCACATAAGGAGACATGGCTTACTAGTACTGTAATTAAATAAAGCAAAAAAATAAGATCTAAACAGTCATACAGAAATATTTAATGCATTTTCTAATGAAATCATCACAGTAACAGAACTTTATTTTACTGTAATGAAATGCAGTTTTACCACACCAGTATAAATTAAAACATAAGATCAATGTTTAATACATCTCTAGAAATATTACAGATGCAATTGTCATAATCAGCAACTGAACTGTTCAAGCAAGAAAAAAAATCTCCCTCAGATATCCCATTCTGTTCCAACATAAATAAGGCTCTGTAATTAGTTGTATTATTACAGGTAAATCCTTTTTGTTGAATACTCAGATATGCTAATTTCAGACACATGAGCAGAGGCACATTTTATGTGCTTGTAAGAAGTTGGGTAAGAACATAAAACACTGCATTAGATCATACTATATATATATATATGAATTACTAAATTAAAATACATCTGGGATATGAGTTGGTATCACTTCACATCACAAAGGGCACTGTAAATTAATACAATAGGCAACTTTGGTAGAGAGCCTATGGCAAACTACGTGTATAGATGAGAGTTTGAAACTTAAGACAGAAGTTTTAAAAACATGCTACAGGAAAAATCATTTTAGATCTGCATGATTAGCACAAAGAAATGTTTAATTTTAGAGGAAGCATCCCAAGATTCCTAAAATGTTTTACCCATAAGTTAAATTCTGTTAATGGTAATTTATAAATGTAAGTGGTATACAAGTGCAAAATTCATTGTTTAGCTGCCCCCGCCCCCGTATAATTTTCTCTGAAATGGTGTTGAAATACCTAATCACAATGAAAATTAATTATTGCAGAGAAACATTCTCAAGCATTCTGAAAAGCCATGTAATATTATCTGGGCTGTTTAACAAAGCAGTTTGCAGTATTGATTCAGGATTTTTACTCTGATAATCCTCTGAAATATTTTTTTTCCAAAGACAAGGATTAGTATCTTTGGATTATATGATTTAGAAGAAAAAAAATACAGACTATTTTACTTTGGCAATAAAAATAACCTCTTGTTACAAGGACTTGCATGCATAGAATAAAGCATCTGATTTTGTTTGCCCTCCTTAAAGTGACTTCCTGTGCAGTTTTGATAATAGTTTTGATATTTACTTTCAAAACAAGCTTATCAATAGAGATAGGAAGGGCAAACAAAAAACAGAAATCGTAGCATGCAAACAAACCTTATAATACAACTATACTTTTATCACTAATTCATATCTGAATAACCATTAAGATGGTACAACCTTTAGAATTTTCAATTGGCCATCACTCATGAACTTTATACAATATATCAGTTTTATTAGGTAAATAAAACCTCATATCAAATATTTGCATTTCCTCTCCTTAATAAATGAATATTCAAAATGCAAAAAAAATTTATTAGGGATGGTAAAATTCAGTTGTTCCATCAATTATTGGCTTGTATTACAGAATTTTTCAAGTAACTCAATTCTATTTCAAATCAATTATTACCACTTCAAAATTCCTCAAAATAAACATTTTAATTTCTGTAATATTTACAAATAAGGACCTATTAATTATCTAGTCCCTTAATTAAACAGTAATGAATTTAAAACTATGGTAATCAAGTATCAGGATGGGTTACAAAGAAATATAAAAATCCTTTCATTAGAAACTTGCCAAGTTTATGGAGGCTTTTGAATATAAAAATCACATTATTAAAGTAAAATCAATAGCGTGACTCATTTATATTTAATATAACCTAATTTGTAGAAACAAAAACTATAATATGTATATTTCGTGCAAATTATAACATTTTTCTGCCTTTATTTGATATAGGTATGTAAAACAAAAAGACCTTCATTTAGGGAAATATTCTCCAGTGCTTGAACATGCAGTTGCTATCAGGTACACAATTAAACTGAATGAACAGAAATTAAACAGAATTGTTCCAATTCTTAGTAGAATAGTAGTATTCTCTTTACATTTCACAAAATTGGTATATAACAGGATTTTTAATAGTACAAAAACTGCATAAGCCTAAGTTATTATTTTGCAACAGAAACATAGTTTAAACAAATTTGGCTGTTTAACTTGCAACTACTAAACTGCAGGGTTTAACATGCTTCACCCACGTTTATTAACCTGTTCAATCTGTTTTTCTTGCAGAAGATCTAAACTGTCACAAGACTTTTATGATATCCAAACTCTTAAGCTTAAATGGCACAAGAAACACTTCCTTCTTGTTAACAAATTCAGCTGGTCACAGTACATCTCAATATGAG